GATCATATAACATCTCAAATTTAAAAAAGCATGAAACTTTTAAAAAAATTTCCAACACTTGTATGGAAACATAAAATTAATATTTTCATTCACAATGCATACAAAAAAGGAAGGTTTATTTTTGAAGACTTGAAATAAATCACTTCAAACTCAATATATTTTTTTCATTCTTTCCTCTTTGAATATAACAACTTTATAAAATAAGTTGCTCAAACAAAAATGAGTTTATAGCATAGTTTTAAAACCCGGACCGAACCGATGGGTCAACCTAGAACCTGGTTGACCCAAAGCTGGAACCAAGCTGGGTTGATAAAAAAACATGTCAGGATTTGGCCCGGTAAAACCCAGTCGACCAAGCGAGTCAACCCGGAACCCGGTCGACCCAGGTAAACCCGGTTGTGTTTTTTAATATATATACATACAAGTAATCCCATCCGCAGTACAAAAAGATAAGAGGAATTTAAGTTCAAGGCTAAGCTTTTTCCTTATTTAGCTCTTCAGATCTGCAAATCAAGGTAAGATTAAGTTGATGGTATCTCTTTAATTTTTTGTTCTTTATATGGGAAAGGTATTACTAACTCATTGAGAGTCATAATTCTATCTCTCACCTCTTCCGTTGCTGTCAAATAAAAGATTAAAATTCTAGTTTGAGAATGAAAATGATATGGAATAAGTAAGGAAATTGTGGGTTTTCTTTATTGTTGCAAAACCAGGAATTAAGACAGTGCAATTTTACTTTTTACAAGAAAGAAATAGAAATCAAAGAGTAACAACAACCAAGTTTGTATGAGGGAGAGACAAAGGGGTATGGTGTGTGTCTACAACTAGCATACCTTTATTGGTCTGTAGCAGCATCAAATGCCAGCCTTCTGGTTTTCTATGGGTCAAGCAAGAACACTGTTCTCAATTGCTATTTTCAATTTCTATGGCTAGATACTTTGCTTTGAATTGATTTCTTCTAAAAAGACCTATCAGATTCATTCTCATCTTGATTTACTATAAAATTTTTAGAATCTACAAAAGCATTACAGGAAAGGGCTCGTAATGATCTTTAATGTGAGATGTGTTGGGAGCTTTTATAAAAGATTGAGGAGTTGAGGGTTGTTGGGCATAAAAGGATCGTGAATTAAAGAATTCTTGTTTGGAAAACGAAGTAGAAAAGGTAGCATTAGTTCCAAACAAAGAGTAATAAGTGTGCTAGTATTTGTTTTTGTTGGTTTTAATTGCAAGGACACGTAAAAGAAAGGTCAACGCTTTCAAGTCTTTAACTGCAAAGAAATTAATTTTTTTGGGTTGACCTAAGTTGACCCGGGTTAATCCATCTGACCCGTGACTTGATCATTATACTGGGTCAACCACCAGATTGGGTTTAAAAATTATGGTTTGTAGTTAAATTCTACTTCATATGAATGAAAAATCTTATATACATGAGCCAATATTTGTTTTTGCAATCCAATTATGCTGTCAAAAAATTTTAAATTTTTTGACCTGCGAGCGGGATCTGACATGGATGCCAAATTTCTGGTGCTTGGGTCTAGAAGTCATGCTAGATCCAACAAATTGAGTTTGATAGCAATGTCAAACTCAAGCATCCTAGACCTGGTAGCTATGTTAGACCCTATGCCTGAGTTTTGCATCAGACATGGGTGTTAAACCCAAGGCATTTGGGTTTGACAATCATGTCAAACTTATGGTTCTTAAGTTTGCTAACCGTGTCGACCCAAGAAAACAACAAATAAAGAGAGGACAATTATGTATTTTAATTATCAAAAGACAGAAAAAAAAAAGTAACCAATCAATCACCAACAACAATCAAACCATGATATGTCTACATGCGCTACTCCATGTTGAAGAAAACATGGTTGCATATCTAGTTATACAACAGATGATCAGATTTTGTTACGAGGAAGCGTCTCATGCACATTCTTAATGGTACGAGCGCCGCCCATTCATTAGAACATGTAGAACACGTACCAATAACTTTCTTATTAAAAAATAAAAAATACAATGTAAAAATACTAAAACACCCACATAGTCCTCTTAATTACACAAAATACTAGTGTAAAAATACCAAAATACCCCTAGAGACAAAGCTTGTTTTTCATCTTTTCTGAGGCTAAAAGCATTGTTTGCTTACACTTGAAAATTGAAAAAACCCGAACACCCTTATTAAAGAAAGCCAAAGAAATGTTTATTTGCTTATGAAAAGATTAAAAATTAAAAATAAAACTATTATTACAATCCAAAGAAAAATATTTCTTAATTTATAATGATTTCCTCACACCATTCAACTTTTGTTATAATGGGTTAGCATTCATGACTAACATTGTCAATTTATATTTTGTTTTGGTTCGAATTGTCAGTATACCTTATACTATTTTCAAATATAAAACAAAGTGGAATAAATTTTATATCGTTCAAAGATCTCGGGTCATTCTAGATTTTTTGTTCAAATCCTAACAGAGATATTTCATGTTTACTTTATTTATTCCGTTTCAAATAAAAGTTTGAGAAAACTAAAGTGTAATTTTATTATCTAAAGAGTAAAGAAAAGAGACTTGACCTAAAGCTAAAATCTAAATCCCTTATTTTAGGCCTTCTTTTTCAAAACAAAAGGAAATTATTTAAGGTTTGTTTAACACAATTACTAGTAGGTCCCTTATTGTGACATTTAAGATGCAATTGGTGGTCAACTTGAGGAGTAAAAGAAAGCAAGAAGTGATTTTGGCATGTCTCTAGCTATTTGTCAAAGAGAGAATTTAAATATGGGCAATAAATTTTATTGCTTGTATTTTTAAATATAAATGTTGTTTTTTTATTTTTAATATCTAATTTATTAAACTTTATTTTTTAGAGTTGCATGATGGGAGCAATTTGGATATTAAATCATACTCCAGAACTTCAAAAGTTTGCAATTCAAGTTCTTAGTTAATGTTGTAGTGCAACTAAGTATGAGAAAAATTAAAGTATATTTAAATTCATCAATTCTTAAAGGAAAAATTGAATAGAGCACAAGAGACTAAGTGATTTGGTCTTTGTTCGTTACAATTTGAGGATTTAACAAAGACAAAATATAAATATTATCATATTAATAATATTATTAAAAATAATTATTATTATTTTCATTAAAATTAATATTTTTTTAAATGAATTTATCACTAGTATATATGGTTTATATTTTTCATAATCCATCCTTGAGGTCATCCCCCCAAATTTACCTTTTTCCTTTCAAAAAATAAAAATAATAATAACAAGAAGACTGGTGAAGCACAACAACCTAGCCAAAAATAATAATTTCGTTTGTAATATTTTATTTAAATTTTTAATTTAATCAAAAAATTTTAAAAACCCCTGAAATATTACCAACAACTTTTCAGTCTATATGTGATTCCATCTATAATATTTATTTTCAATTTTCGATTTAATAATTTAAAAAAAAAACCCAAATATCACTGGCTTTTTAATCTACTGGTGATTATATCCGTAAAGAACAATAATTAATAGTGCAATTGATAAGTGAACAGTTCCTAAGCTTTCAGGAAAATATCAACAGATTAATTCTGTAGGTAATCATGTATGTAATTGATAACATGAATAGTGCAAATAAAAAGTGAACAGTTTCAGAACTCTATGAAATATAGCGACAAAACTAATTTATTGATGATACCCTCTGTAATTAACACAATAAATAGTGTAAGAAAGAAGGGAACAATTTTAATGCTCTCTAGAATATACTGATAGACTTGTTTCCATCAATGTAAAACAATTTTTGTTGTCAAATTGTATTTGTATTTGTTATCTATCTTTTCTGCAAATTCATAAGATCATGGAAACACACACAACACAATAACATTAGTTCTGAATATAATAATAAAATCACATAAAATAAATGTTTCCTCATCATTTAATAATATTAATGTCATTGTCATTTCATCAAAAGTAATTTCATTTAGAAATTTTACATTATAGTTTATAGCATTACACATTCATGTTGTAAAAATTAATTAGAATTTTCTTCTTCTTCTTCTTCAATCTTGTCATCATCATCTTCATCGCAATATTCTACATTGATTTCATTACTATCATCATCTTCATCTACTTGTGTATGTCAGTTGGTTCTCAAAGAGCATCATTTAACTCCTAAACATCAACAACAACAAAAGTATTCACTAATATTTTTTAGATTAAATTGTGCGTAATTAATAAAACCTTAAATCCCATTACAATAATTCATCTTATACAGCCCTTTAAATGAATCTCAATACATCTATGAACAATCATCCATTACTTATATCAAACATATATACAATATTGTATTAATTAATTACACGAACTAAATAAATTTGCAAAGATTGGCTTAAATCAAACTTATTCAATCTATTTTAATAGTACTCCTAGTTTATTATCAATTATCTACATATATTCATATTTCTATACATTTATCAAAAATTTCAACTCAACAATAACATTGATAAAATATAAAATGGACCCATTAAATACATCATTATTTCTTTCATGCAAAACACATAAGTTACAATTCAAAATAAATTTCATCAATTTACAAACAAATACGATATTATAAAATTTCAAACGAATCCTAACATGTACAAATCATATATTTATGCAACAAATTTTATAAGAAAAAGCTATAACGCAGGTAAACACAATCTTATAAGTTATAACTTAAATATTACCAATAAATTTATAAATTTTACTGAAGGATTAATACCATTAATAACACCATTTATATAAATTACATATCATCATATCAATCTTTTAGTCGTGTCACACATCATCATATTTTTTAACTTTTTTAACTTTATCTTTTTTTAATTCTCTTAGTATATATTAAATGTATTTTAGCTAGTGTTTACTGATAGATATATCAAATAAATATTTCATTAGTAAAATTTATTATAATCTATTAATATAAATATTTTATCAATATAATATTTCTATTTGTATTGATTACTAAGCATTTTTTTTCTATTGTTGTTGTTTTTTTTTTTTTCTTGTTAAACTTTTCTATTATAAGATTGAGAATAACAAGCCATAATGCAAAACATAAGATGTTCTCCAATCACACCACAGACATGTATGTATCTGCAATCCTATAGATAAATTCTGCAGCATTTTACAGATACTATGCTGTTATGGTGCGCATTGACGATGTGCTTTCCAATATTTTTGGTGCATACACTGTTGCTGAGGTCCTTGGAAGCTTGATGCTGCAGGTTCACTGACTGCATAAATTACCCATTGCACAAGAACCTAGGGCTCCCAAAACGAAAAGCCTCGCTCTCTCGCAACTTTTCTCGTTTCAGCTTGTCGGATAAAATTTCTGTCATGACTTCTCTTAGGAATGCCTCTGGTTTGCTCGTGTGACGGACTGCAATCCAATTGATTGCTTCTTAATTCTGTGGTCTGACATTGATTGCTTCTTGATTCTGTGGTCTGACCCTCTGCTATTTGCTTATTAGACAACCAGGTCTGAAGCATTTCATCTATCTTTGGTTCGGGTAATAACTGCTTTTCCTTCATTTCTGTGTAATATTTGTGGGCTGCATCCAATTCACCATTCAAGAAGAGACCATGAATAAGCACAATATATGAGCTACGATCAGGACTGATTCCATTCTCACTCATTTCATCCCACAACTTAAAAACATTCTGAAGCTGACGCCACCGGCAAAATTTCCTAATTAACATTATGTAGGTATCATTAATTGGTTGACATCCCATCTTTCTCATCTTCTCCAAGAGAGCAAACACTTCTTCCCCTGTCCTTAAAATGCGAAAGAAAGCATGATAAGTGCGTATGGTTGGAGATATGCAGCGCTTTAACATGTCATCAAATACCCCTTTAGCCTCTTCTACTTTCCTTGCCCTACATAAAGGTTTAATTAGTGAATTGTATGTGACAATGTTAGGAGCAACACCCTTCTCCTCCATTGTTTTCATGAGGTTGAAAGCTTCATTCACAAGCCTACCCTTAGCAAGAGCATGGATGACCGCATTATAAACTTTCCTATCTGGTTCAATCCCAAATTTCTTCATCTGTTTGTAGAGCCTGAGCACTCTATAAAGACTACCAGCCTTCGAATAGCAAGACAGCATACTAGCATACGACACAACATCAAATCGAATACCCCTCCTGCTCATCTCCCTCCACACTCGCTCTGATTCACGAGGACTACCAATCAAATTACACCAACCATTCAGCACAATGTTAAAACTCTTCGTGTTAAGCGGAAATACAGCTTTATTGCAATACATCAACTGCTCAGCATCTTGCACATTCTTATACCGACAAAGGGCTGACAAAAGACTCTGAAACTCCTCAATCCCCATATCAAATTTAAATCTTTTGTAGGCATAAAATGTGTTTATAGCCCGACCAACATCGTGCACCGCACAGTATTTCCTAATCATGATCAACAAAGTCTGTGGAGTCACCAGTGATACACCGGTCTTAACTCCTCTCATCTCATCAATCAACACCCACGCTGTATCAAACTTTCGCATTTTACCAAGAATAGAAATCATGGAATGATATTCACGTACAGAATGAGCATAACCTGGCTGCCTAGCTGCCCACAAGAAGAAAGTAAACGCCGCCTCCCAATCATTTCGTACCCTAGAAAGCACCTCCAAGACCAATTCTTGTGAGACCTTAACCCCACATTGCTCAATCTTGCTCTTCATTTCCACAAGATTGTCACTCGATTCTTGTAATATATTCACAATGGTCTTCGCATCCTGAAAAAGACCATCATCGCTTAAATTCAACCCTCTAACATCGTCGTCGTCTTCGTCATTTTCCATATCACTGCCATTATCGTCATTATCACTAGAACATTCTTCTGGTTCTTTGAGATGCTTTGGGGTGATTGGGGTTTCAAGACTTGAAGTGGAGAAAGAATAGAAAGCAGTTGAAAATTTCGAACTCAGTGGCCTCTCAACGGTTAGATTTGCAAAGTGGGTTGGTTCAAAATGTGAAAAAATCAAATGGGTTCGAGCTAGAATTACAAATCTCGACAGGTTACATCTTATGGTTCTGATTCCTTGCATTCTACAGGTGGACAGAACTTTCAAACGGAACACAAACTGTTTGTGAAAATGACTGAACGAAATAAACGGAGAGCTCTAGCTATAAAGAGAAGTCAGTGAACAGGAAGGGGCACCTGTATTTATATATAAGCTTTGAGTTTCAAGATTTTGACGGATATTTGCTTTGCTTGCTGCGGCAGAGAGTGGCAAAATGAATGTTGGAGCCGCCATTTATGTATACGCTTTACTGGGTTAAGGGGCTAAGCTGGTACTAGCACTGGTAGAAAGGAAATTACTGCACATAAAACCTGAGAGGCAGTCGTGAAGCAGGTCTCCCAAGTGGCTATGCGTGATTGGTTTCAGGGAGAGGACCAAAATGTGGAAAGCGCGTGGTAAATCACAGTTTGGTCCACATAGTTTAGTTTTAATTCTTCTTGGTCTCCACATTTTATTTTCTTACTATCACTTATGATGCTGTCTTGTAAGAATTAGAAATTCACGAGTTTCTGATTTTGCATTTCCACTACAAAATTTGATTTAATTACATTTTAACAATGTTTTTGTGTTTTTTTGGGACACTTTTGTTCTTACCACAGCATATTATTTTAGTAGAAAATTATTTGTATCCTTAGACAAATATGGCTTTGAGAAGATGAAAAACTCTTCTTTTTTTTATTCAATTCACACTGCACGCATGTGGAATGTTTGATATGAGGTTAATATATATATATATATATATATATAGTTAGTCCCTTTTCTTTAAAATCATAACTTCGTACCTTAATCAAATTTTCCTATTAATTTCTTTTAAAATTTCTAAATTAATGTTTTTGAAAGCACTAAAATTTAAAAGTGCTTCTGAAAAAATTTAAAAAAATTTATTTTTTATTTACTTTAAATTTATATATTTTTAAATTATTTTAATATAATAATATTAAAAATAATTTTTTAAAAAAATATTATTAATATACTTTTTAAAATAAAAAATTATTTAAAAAATAATCACGTATCTCAACAACCTCGAAAAAATAAATTTAACTTCAACAAGCAAAGCCTATACACACCTGAGAATTTTTAAACCTACGCTCTTTAAACCTAGTCATGTTAGGCTATCCAGTCAAGTTTACGTGCTTTGTGAGCTTTGAAGAAATCCGCTCTAATATTGGGAAGCTACTCCCTGTTTCTTCGCATCCAAAAAGCGCTTGTCGTTTCATAAGAAACTCGTCTCTAATGGCTGCAGTGCTATAAAAACAGGTCAAGACTTGAGCCTCAGGTAAATAGGAAATAATAATATAAAAATGTAACTCGTTAATAAGAGCTAGAACGTAAATGAAGATGGTTTGCCTTCCACCATCGTTCAATTCTGAGGAAAAAATACTAGGACGAAAAATGAAGGGCAGGCAATCAAAATGAACCAATCTAATTGAATCATTCGCTGAATGTTAATAAAACACTATGTAAGGTGATTATAAATGATGACAAATGGAGCTATTCTTTTCATTATTCCCAATCTGTAGTCAAAAAATCCAATTTCCATTCCCACTCTGTACGGACTTCTGAAGCAATACGGATCCAGCTAATTCTCTGCTCAAGAAAATGTTGCTTAAATGATGACAAATGGAGCTATTCTTTTTATTATTCCCAATCTATAGTAAAAAAATCCAATTTCCATTCCCAATCTGTACGGACTTCTGAAGGAATACGGATCCTGCTAATTCTCTGCTCAAGAAAATGTTGGTTCTCAGGAATCGCCGCTGAATTATGCACTTTGGTGACCAAGATGATAGTGCAATTTGAAGTTATGCTGGTGATGACACAGCCTCTATGGCACTGCCCAGTGGCCATGCAGCTTCCACAAGAGAAGTACGGTACTGAACCTTCTTCACCAACGTCATTTCTTGCCATGGATCCAAAGCTACAGGCAAAGAATGACCAGAGAATTAGAGAAGATCATCTTAGCATAAGCTCTCAGGTGCAAAAGCTAGTGGACTTTGACAACTCGCTCAAGTGCGAAGGACTTACCAAATCCATCTACAAGTAATGTATACTGATAGACAAGATCCATGCATATGTATGGCAGATCATTATCGTCCACACTTGAGTATATGGATTTAGCATTCTCTAGTTCAGTTTCACAAGCACGCTTCGCTGCATTCTCAAAATCAGAAGGTTGAACTTTGGCAGCTGGTACAGTTGAATCAACAAAACCAGCCTATAAATGTAAATAATCTAGTTAGCATGCTAAATTTGCAAAGGAGACGATGTAACCCATGACGAATTTCACGAGAAAACTTAAGGATGATTAGCACCTGAGCAGCTCTGTCAAAGAAAAATGATGCAACAAACATGTTCTTCTGTCCATCCCCCCCTCCACCATTCCATATCCCACCAAATGTACATTTCATGTGTGTACAAGTTGATTCGTTAACTTTGAGAGCATTAAGAGCTAATCTCCTGCACTCTTCCATGTTTGAACCAGATGGAGAAGCCGATGCTTTATGGTCTTTTCCCCCATACTCATATACCCCTGTTTTGAAGACCAGCAAATGAAAGCATATTTATTAGTCCATTTGCTCATCTGAACACCATATATGCAAGATGTTGTTATTTAAACTATAACCACAGCTAATTCAAATATTATTTAAGAGATATGCTGAATGAAACTCAATTGCTAAAGCAAAAAGTTCACAATCTAAAACAAGCAATTTAGAGGGAAAACAGTTGTTAGTGCATTTGAAAATTTAAATCATAAAAGACACCACACATTATTACAATTATCATTCCACTTTTCCACTGATAACGATAGAGAAAGGAATAATTGGGAGAAAATTTCATGATAAACAGCATGTCCATTGCATGTGCCCCACATCTAATGGTATCATGTCTCGTTCATCAAGTTGCATGTTGGCCAAATTCTTAATTATATACTTTGTTAAACGGTTGGCATTGAACATAGAAAACTAACATTCTAACTAATGTCTTCTAATCATACACAATTTATTCATCTTCTGAAAAGCAAATTGTGCAGCATCAAATTATTTACATGAAATTTAATTCCTCTAATCACAAAAGAAGATGAATCAACACGATAAAATGAAAAGCAAAACTCATCCCGCCTCTTACAAATTAAGTGATTCATTACCATCATAACCAGCCAGGATACACGGATTGGTAGAGTCCTCTGAAGCATCCAACATTTCTGCTCGAGCTGCTAGTAAACCATAGTGCAAATAGCTGCACGTGAAAGATGCCACAATCAAATTATGAACTTGCAGTCATAAAATTGCTCAATCTTGTCTCCACAGGAAAGCTAGTAACTGTACCAAAATTCTTTTTGTACATAAGAAAATTCTAAGACAGCCTGATAAAACGCAAAAGCTACAGCTACTGATGAACCCAACCTGTGAACATAGAGGTAATATTTGGTTCCCATCAAAAACATTTCCTTCACATATGTATCCTCTCCATCAGATAACCTTGGTGCCTTTGCAGCATCCGTCTCAGAGATAGCATATGCCATTTGAACAGATCCACCACCAAGATCTACTACTCCAACTGTGTTTGAATATTTCTTGCCTAAATTTCCTAAGAGGTAGTTTATTGTCACCTGCAAAATGCAGGCCAGATAAAGTAAGAAAAGACTGAACAATAATATTATGGACAGAATACAGGAAAATTTTCTCATCTTTGATTCAAGATGTTACGTGTCATGACCTTCTAAATGCAATAAAATAATACATAGGCACCTCGTTTCAAGGAATTCTCCTTGTCTATCTCAAAAACTGTGGTCAGTGATGATATACGATCATAATATCAGCAAGTGAAGCTTACTAGAGGAGAAACACAAACACACCATAGGGCTATGACAAAGTCAATGCAGAGGTACTATGATGTAAAAACTGCTCATCCAACTGATATCCAGTGCTTTTTAGCACATCAAAAGGGGTAGTGTAAATAGAAAAAAAAAAAAAAAAAGCAGGAGAAACTAGTGCAAGGGAACACCAAATATAATCAGTTAAGTGTTAGTAGCTTGCACTTTAGTGATTAACTTATGTTAGTAAGAAAACCATGCATTAAGACTCGTATTTTCATCTGAATTCAAGAGAAGCCTTTCCAAATGGAACTAGCCTTCTCCATAGCAGGAACAGCACTTCTAGCCAATTTGATTTGCCCAATAAAAATTTGGCAGGACTATTCTTTGTAATGTCCAATGTATGAAACTACTGATTAGCTAGTTCTAAGGTAGCAATTCTCACTCTGTTTTATTGAATTCAACTTAATATGAGGACACCACACAGTTTTTCATACTTGTATTAAAATAGCATACTGTTAAACCCTACTCATCATTCTCTAGTCATTACAATCACCAGCATTTTGTTATGGAAAAAAAAAGGTTTGAAAACTAGCATCTAACTAACTTCACAAGTAAAAACATGATGTGTATGAAAAAGTCAATGAAACTAACCCACTGATAAGAACCTTCTTGAGAGCCATCCAAAACAGTGACCCCATTTGCCTCAGATTTAAGGGTGCTTGTATCTCTCAGGAGATCCCTGACCTTCAAACAAGGAGTTCGAAAGGCTATAAGTATGAAATATCATGGCAAATCATGAGAATATAGACTATGAAACAACGACTTACCGCTTGCAAAATTCTATCAGATGCATCCATTCCCAATGCCCTCAAACCAGCAGTAGCCTGTGGAAACATTTAAAAGCCAATTACAGTAATTAAGCAACCCCAACTAATCTAAAGTTGAGTTGTATACATGGCATTGCATCATTTTATCATAAATTGATTTATTATGAGTTTCAACCAAATAAAAATGCAAACAAGAACCATCTGAATTTACCCACCCCAACTCTGACAGGTGTTTTTGGTCGGAGCTCTTTAGGCACAGAACTTTCAGCTTTATGAAGCAGGGAAACAAGGGAGTTGGCTGCTTCTCGTGGGTTGTTTGCATAAGCACTCAAACCTGGTTTAAGCTATATAACAAAAACAACATCAGAAACACATATTGTATAACAAAACAGTATGAAACAGACAGCTCAAAACCCCTCTATTAGCATTTTAAAACCACTAATTTTGATTTATCTAAAACTCACCAAGCAACTTCAACTTAAGAGATTAAAATAAAAGAAAAGGTGCAAAAGATTATAGAACAACATTGCGAAGGAAAATGGCATCACACCTAATACATTCCTGGCATTAGATCTGATACTTTTTCTGCCACTCTTCTCACTCTTAAACCTCGAAATTGGATCGAATTCCACTTCCACTAGCAAATTACAAACTCACCTCCACTAAAAACAACAACAACAACAAACTCTTTTACTATCAGTAAAAACCAAAGCTACTGTTTTCATTTCCATTTCGATGTCTCTTCCAACTGGAAACTAACTCTGAAACTCTAACAACTTGTTTGGAACTAATTCAATGCTAGAATTGACTTCAACTATTTAAGTAGATAGAAATGATTTAATTTTCTAATTGATTTTTTTTTTGGAATAGGTTTTCCAACTTGAGTTAATGAAAATACATCATTTACCCAACTTGCCCTCATTCCTAAAAAGGCTTATTCCAGGAATATGCGCGCGCGCGCGTGCTGGGGGGTTTAGTAGGATTAATTAATTTTTAACGGTTCAATTCCGAAGTGAATCACAGCCGGTGTGAATATCTATAAAAATATCTAATTTTAATTGCTAGTAGAATTCATTTGTGTTGCTTAAAGCTTTACAAACACTAGCATTAGGTAAATGGTGTTGAAATGATTTCATTTCTACTCAAAACTTCAGTTTCCAAACAGCCTGTAAATCAATATTAACTAATTCTCTCATTTTCAATCTAAATCCAATTTCCTCTCCCACCATCATATAATTTCCACAGATTCAATTTCTCGACACTAATCAACCGATTGCACATATAAAATAACAAAAATCCCTCCCTCAAATTCAAACTTGCTAAAAAAATAACAATAACAATTCACATTGTGTTAATTAATTAATTAATTATGAATAATAAATAAGTAGGCATTAGTGTTAAATACCTGCAAGAAAAGCTCGAGTTCTTTACCGATAGGAACAAGATCCAAATTCTGATCAAAACAGTAAACATGAACTCTACTCCCTGAGCTGCCGGCATCAAAAATAACCGCATAACTCCTCGAATCCGTACCAAGATTCGGCGACATCTTTCGAATCACTCCGCCATACTCGTAGTCTTCACGACTTGGCATCACGAACAGCACAAAAGCAATCAACAGCACCGGGATCGAAATCACAAGCAACACTCCCTTGTACTTCTTGATCTTATCGCTTAATGACTCGTGTCGCAAACCAGGTCGTTTCATTGTAGAAGACTTACTATCGGAGTTGGTAGGGGACGTGGCGGTGGTGCCGGCTTCGAGGAAAAGTTCGGCGGAGGAGGGAGTGCGGTAACGGATCTGGCCGTTAGTGGAGGTGGAGGTGGCCACTGGGGGTGGTGGTGGTGGCGGCTTTAATGTCAAGGAATGGGCTGGTTCCTGTGATGGATCCAGCTCTCCTAATTTGTTATTGATATGTTTAAAAGGGAGAGAGAGGAAATGAAAAAACGTAAATTTTTTGGGAAAATGGCAAGTCGGAGAGAGATGGGGAGTTGAAGATGGTACTGTGGAAGTGTTGGTTTTTTTTTTTTTCAGTTTTTCTCTGAAGCGTAAAATACAAGGAAGAGACACTGAGATTTGGAAAGGGGAGGACATGACATTTTATAGTTTTTTTTTCTTTGACAAGCGCAGACCGTGGATTTCTTTTATTCCAGAGTGTGATTGTTATCGTGGTAGGTTTTGTCATAATATATAAAAAAAATTATTATGTAAAAAATATTTTTAATTTAAATTATTTTAGTATTAAAATTAAATTTTAAATTAAAATTAAATAAAAAATATTTAATATTTTTAATTTAAAATATTTTTAAAATTAAGATTATAAAATAATTAAAAAATATATGTATTAACATTGATGGTTTTTGTCATTAAATAATGTTAAATACTAATTTTTAAAATAAAATATAATTAAAAATAAAAATAAACTTTTTTTTACAGGGTCAAACCTAGTTCAATGAATTTAGCTTTGGATCAAACTCGGTCTGACCAGAACCGTGGAAAGTATCTCCACTGTTAATATAAAAATACTAGTTTTTTGAATAAAATATAATTAAAAATAAAAATAAAAATTTATTTTTTTTACTAGGATGGATCTGGTTCAATGTATTTAATTTTGGATCAAATCTAGTTGGGCTGAAACAGTGAAGAGTATATCCACTATTCATATAAAAACACTAATTTTTTAAATAAAATATAATTAAAAAATTAAATTAAAATTAAATTTTTTTATTAGATCAGATTTGTTTCAATATATTTAGTTTTAAATTACATCTAGTACAACCAGAACAGTAAAAAATATCTCTACTATTCACCTTAGTAAACAACAATAAAGAGTTAATTAATTCACTCTCTAATGCGTGGGAGAGAGGTTGTGTTACAAGAATACAACGAGCAACATGCAATTTCTACTTCAACAAATTAGAGTTTTCAACGTAAATAATGATAGGGACATGTGTAAAAATTACATTTAATTTTATTACCAAACGAGATATTATAATTGTTAAAGCGTTTGTTTAGGTGACTGCGGCTGCATTTTAAACAAACGCAGCTTTTACATGTTTGAATATTCCTAATTATATTTTACCTGATGTTATTACATGCTTAAGAAACCAAAAAAATTATAGTTCTCATTGGATATATTTCATATGTGATGGAATTGTAGATAGTTTAGTAAAATAATAAAAAATATTTTGTATAAAATATTATTTATTTTATGATATAATAACAATAGTTAAATCTACAATATTATTAAAAACAATCAATATCAATATATATCTTTTTTAGTTATTTTATAATATCAATTTGAAAAGTATTATTAACTAAACACATTAAACTACTTTTTATTGAACATCAATTTCAACAAAAGTTTCAACCAAATATAAATAAATACCAAATCAACCTCAATTAAAAATACTTTTTATAAAATATTTTTTTTCAAACTACAACTACTATAATATCAAATACACTTTTGATAGTAATTGTAATTCAAATTTGAATTAGTGCTAATTAAAGAGGTGATGTGAAATTAGAGTGAAGTGCAATTTTTTTTTTAAAGATTTGTGTAGAATTTAAATAAAGTGGTTTCATAGGATTAATTTCTTTGAATCAAAGGAATGTACATCATTCAATAAATAAAAATTATTTAATTTGAAAGCTTGAACTTATATATATATCCGAATTTGATTCATTTAATCTTATAAGAATTTTAGAATTTTTATACGAGAATTGACACATGTTACAATCTAAATCAGAATCTCTTTTTTTGTAATATAAAAAAAAGTATAGATGTTACTTGTATGTTTTAAAAAATAAATTGAAATAAATTATAAAATATAATTTTATGTTGAAAGATAAAGAAATTCAATAAAAAAGAAAAAACTAAAGCACTTTAAAAAAATACTTACAAATAATAAAATTATTTTTTTTCAAGTTTAACATCAACCCAATGTTAGGATACTTTTTTTAAGACTGTAATAACCATATAGACTCAATACTTAAGGATGAAAATAAAAAAATTATTTAAAAAAATTAAAGAAAAAAATACAACACATATAAATAATAAAACTGAATCCTTTTTCACAAAATGAAGTATCAACCTAATATTAGTATAATTTTTTTGAGATCACAATAATTTTATAAAAAGCAAATTAAAATAAAATTAAAAAAATTAATTCTTAATTAATTTTTGTCCACAAAATTGTACATTATTGGGAGTTTTTTTAAGACCATACTAATCCTCTATAAAGTAAATTGAAATAAATTATGAAACTCAATTTATAAAATTAAATCACGAAGAAATGACTAGATGTGATCCGGTTAACTTGACAGGTTTAAAAATAACTAAGATAACTGGTAAAGACATGATTGTCTGAAAAAATTTAAGATAAAATCTTTTTGTAATAGTGAGATGATATTTTTTTAAAAAAAAAATATCATGATGGTAATATACTAAATTGACACAGATTGACCCGAGTACACTTGTCAAATCTGTAATCTGGGTAACTTGTTAAACTAGTAACTCAAATTATGAGATCAAAATAATACAATAGAAAGTAAAAAGAAAACAAAACTTATTAAGCTTAATTTCAAAGCATTCCAGTGGTAACAGATAAAATTTTAAAAAGAAAATCAATTAGAAAAGAATAGAAAAACAACTTAAATTAACACAATAAGTCCACAACTAAAGTTATGAGATGATGATAATACCATGAAAAATTTTATAAAGCCTGATTTTCAACAATTCAAATATTAAAAAAATAATGTTAGAAAAAACAAAGAAAAATCATAACATTATTAATGAATAGCTTTGGAGCCCGTGCTTTGCCGCGAGATTAGGCTATTTTTTTGTGAAAAAAATGATATTCAGGTGTCAAAATGAGATTAAAAAACAACATAAAAAAGAATCATGGCAAACTTGTAACCCCGATAATTAAGGCTGAGCCAACCCTAACCTATATTATGAGATTTAAATAATCCAATAAAAAATAAAAAAGATTATAAATCTTTTTTTTTTTTAAAAAATCATGTTAACTTTTCAAACTTGTAACCCAAGTCATTATACCTGAAGCACCTAAAAAAAAATTATTTAAAAAAATTAAAGAAAAAAATACAACACATATAAATAATAAAACTGAATCCTTTTTCACAAAATGAAGTATCAACCTAATATTAGTATAATTTTTTTGAGATCACAATAATTTTATAAAAAGCAAATTAAAATAAAATTAAAAAAATTAATTCTTAATTAATTTTTGTCCACAAAATTGTACATTATTGGGAGTTTTTTTAAGACCATACTAATCCTCTATAAAGTAAATTGAAATAAATTATGAAACTCAATTTATAAAATTAAATCACGAAGAAATGACTAGATGTGATCCGGTTAACTTGACAGGTTTAAAAATAACTAAGATAACTGGTAAAGACATGATTGTCTGAAAAAATTTAAGATAAAATCTTTTTGTAATAGTGAGATGATATTTTTTTAAAAAAAAAATATCATGATGGTAATATACTAAATTGACACAGATTGACCCGAGTACACTTGTCAAATCTGTAATCTGGGTAACTTGTTAAACTAGTAACTCAAATTATGAGATCAAAATAATACAATAGAAAGTAAAAAGAAAACAAAACTTATTAAGCTTAATTTCAAAGCATTCCAATGGTAACATATAAAAATTTAAAAAGAAAATCAATTAGAAAAGAATAGAAAAACAACTTAAATTAACACAATAAGTCCACAACTAAAGTTATGAGATGATGATAATACCATGAAAAATTTTATAAAGCCTGATTTTCAACAATTCAAATATTAAAAAAATAATGTTAGAAAAAACAAAGAAAAATCATAACATTATTAATGAATAGCTTTGGAGCCCGTGCTTTGCCGCGAGATTAGGCTATTTTTTTGTGAAAAAAATGATATTCAGGTGTCAAAATGAGATTAAAAAACAACATAAAAAAGAATCATGGCAAACTTGTAACCCCGATAATTAAGGCTGAGCCAACCCTAACCTATATTATGAGATTTAAATAATCCAATAAAAAATAAAAAAGATTATAAATCTTTTTTTTTTTTAAAAAATCATGTTAACTTTTCAAACTTGTAACCCAAGTCATTATACCTGAAGCACCTAATCTAGAAAAAACCATGAAATTTAATTCTCAATCAATCAAATATTAAATGATAAAATTAAAAAAATAATAATTTAATTATACAAAAGAATTAAAAAAATAGCAAATAAAAGAATGATGATCAAAATTAAAATACAAAATAATATTTAATTGAATGGTGGAATTAAAAAAATTAATTTAGAAAAAAAAAACAATAATAAAGATCAAAATTGACATAAAAATAAAAACAATGTTGTAATTAAAGGATGAAATTGGAAATAATAATAATATTTATAAAAGGGAAAAAAATAAATATAAATATAAAAATCAAAACAATAAGGATCAAATTGAAAAACATAATACAATCAATTTGAATTGAAGGATAAAATTAAAAAAACACTAAAACCTTTATAAAAGAGCTAAAAAATAGATATTTAAAGATTGAGAATTATTTTAAAAAATATAATATTTGATAAATTAAAATTGAAAATGAAATTTACAATATAATATTTGATAAATTAAAATTAAAAATGAAATTTACAAAAAAATCAAAGCCAAAAATTTATAAATTAAAAGAATAGAGATAATTAAAATACCAACAAGCAAGAGAGTAGTCAACGTGGGAGGAGAGAATTGCAGAAATTGATAAGGTATAGAACAATGCTTTTAATAATAGGATAAAAAGGTATTTTTGGATGTGGAGAAGTGTTAGATGTGTTGCTTAAAGAGCGGAGATGTCCTTCGCACCCATCTTTTTGTCTTTTTAGTAAAATATAAAATTATTTATGAGCTTAACTTTGTAATTAAAAAAAATAATATAAAAAGTTAAAAACACTCTTTGAACTTAGGCTTAAATTTTTTTATTTTAAGGATATTTTTAGGGTTTCATTATGCATTTTAATTGTTTACTATTTTTTTATATTTGTGCAAATACTAAAGTGCCCCTCAACTTAAATTATAATAGTTAAAAAACTATTGGGAAAATAAAAAAAATACTTCCTATACCAAATTTAATTTTTTATGTTTTCAAGGGTAGTTGTATTATTTTACTATGTAATTAAGATGAATAAATATTTATTTATTCCTGCTGTATTTGATAATGACAAAACCATGTGAAAAACTTCAATGTTCTTAAAAGCATATGTTAAGTGTTCTTAAAAGCATATGTTAAGTGTTTAGGATAGAGAATTAAAAACACCACTACACTATTTCAGTCAACAATTTATTTTGAATATGCATCTACACTGATTTCCCAAGGTAGTTTCTTTTAATACTGTTATGTGAAAACTTAAACAATGAATTCACCTCCTAAAAGTGAAATATGTTTAGTTTTATACTTAAAAAACAAATTAATAATAAATTCTATGAAAACATTTTAAAAATCAATAAATTCATTTTTATAATTTATTTTTTAATATATTTTGTATTTAATTAATTATGCCATCTATATTAAAAATAACAATTAATTAATTTTTCTTTTCATTTTCATTTTTTTAAAAATGTCTTTTATTTCTCACCTATAAAATATATTTTAATGGAGATATTACTTTTGTAAAGCGTCTTTATATTTTAAAATGAAATTATTATAATAAAGCTAAAATATAATTCTATATACTAGTAATTTTAATTATCATTACCATATATTAGTAATTTTAATTATCAAAAACATAATGAGATGCTATAAACCTTTTCAAAACCTTTTCTACGAATCAGAACATCTCAAAAGAATTAAAAATCATGAAACAAAAAAAAAGAAGTATAAATTTTTATTAATTCCTTGAAAGAATAGAAAGTAAAGAAAAAGGTTAAAATCTTTTCACCCGAAATCTCATCTTTTAATTTTTTTTATGCTATCCGAACCAAGAGCTCTTCCACAGGGAGTGATTTCTGCAGAAAGGAATGGCAAGAACAACACCACGACTTGGTCCAGGTCGTTGCAATCCAACTTAAAATAATCTTCCCTACCAATATCAAATTCCAAGATTGACAATGGCAAGAAGAAATGGCCAAAAATGGCTTTTGCTCCTTTAACTGAAGATAGTCCCAGCATGACTGATCAAATGAAATGGTAAGAGTTCTTATAGTAATCGACACCTCTCGACTTATCAAGCAATTCAAAACAACAATGAGCTGAGCTCATGAGCTATGTCATTTTAGGTTTTCTTCTGTTTTGGTGCTGGCGGAGGGAAGGCGACGCGGAACACCCAAGCAGCCAATATCGCTCCTATGAAGGGGCAGATCCAATATACATACAACTGCTCCCATGTGTTGTGCCATTTGTTTACATATGCCCACCCAAAGGCCTGTGCAGGAGACCAGTAAGGGATAAATTAATACGGTACACAGACTCGTCGTGCAGGAATTACGCCTCCATGGTCATGCAAGCAGGAAGACGATAAACATAAGAGAAAAATAAAGCACTCGTTAAAAAGAAAGAAAGATGAATGCTAGAAAACAAGATTCTAAAAGCCCTCAGTTCCCATCCGGCAAATATATCTGCTGATTCTAACCTCGTCAAATAACAAAAACAAGATGCCAGGTATGCCAGGTATCCGCTCTCTAAAAAGAAAATCTCGTAAGCATACGACAAAGTGACTAATGCCGCATCCTCGAGTGGTTTATGTAGACTAATCTGCATATCAGCAAGTGTGAACAGGTTGCTGAATTTCTCTCAAACTACTCTGATTACCTATCACATATATCCTGACAATATATACCAAAGAAAACTACCGACTTCTATATTTTCTATCCATTCTGATCTGGACTTCACCACCCTCCCCACATGGCGAGCTTCAGCTCTGCCCTGTTTCCACCTGTCTCCGTTGGTAGCAATAAGAGTTTAATACGGGTAATATCATCCACAGTATTGTTGATTTCTGCTCTAACTATTGACACTCACTGCATCTCCACCTGCTATCACATCGCATGCCTCCACAATACTTCCTATCAGAAATCAAAAGCTATTCACTACCTTTAATTACACATGTTTACATGCCATCACAGAGAGAGAAGAATGAGCCTAATGTTGCCCCTTAAAAATTACTATTTTGAGTTTTATTAATTTTAAAGCTATTAAATACTTAAAAAATTATTAATTTCAAAGTTCATAAAATTAATTAAAATATACACACCAAGTTATTTAAAAAAGAAGAAGGAAAGAGCCTGGACAGTACGAGACCTTGTTTCAATATGAGCCAGGTACCGTATTTGGTTTCCTAAGTAAGGCAATGCCAGAGAGATGCCTTAGGAGTACAATTCATGAAATAAAAACATAATTTATTTCCGTTGTTACATGGAGATTTACAATTTTAGGCATGCAAGAGATGTTTAGGAACTTGTGCTTTAAAATCTGAACTACGAGCACGAAAAGATAGGTTCTGACATAATTTGCAAGATTCAAAAGCACTACACATATCTTCCAGAAGAAAAGGCAACCTAAATTAAAGGCAAAGAAAGATGAGATACTCACAAATGCAGGATTCATGGAAGGACCAGTATAAGTAGAACCTGCGCTGACCAATGTTACAGTCACAGTGGCAAGAAACCATGCCTGCACCAGTGAGCTACGAGGGCCCTTGAGGATAATTACTAGAACCGCAAAAGTCATTAAAAAAGTCAAAACCCCCTCAGCAAGGCCTCCAGTTTGCAAGTCCACCTGCAAAGTAGGCCCCCCAAGCATGTGCTTGTACTGCACTGGCATCACCTCCAAGATAGCCAGTGCACCTCCAACAGACCCTGCTGCCTGTCAAGGAGACATTCAATTGTTAATATTTTGACAATTACCATTCAATCCTGTTTCGGAGTAGCTTTGGCATGATTAATTTGGTCATTTCCTTGGACAGAAAGGCTGTCAATTTTCTTTGGGAAGTAAATCATGGTTGTTCCTTTCAAAACTACGTTTCTTCCTTTTTGGAAAATGGATCGTTGTGGATCAACGTTCTTCCTTCAGAAAATTCAAGACACGCAAGCAACATTTACCAAACATTGTGCTTGTTATCAAGAAAGGTAATTGGAGAACTTGAAAGGTCCAAGAAAACTTAGGAAAGAAACATAAAAACAAAAGGGGAAGAAAAGGAGGGACCCTAGGAAAGTGAGATCCACTCAAATTCCATTATCTTGCTTTACAAAGAAAAAAAAGAAGTTAAGGACTTGAATAAAAATATATAAATCTTTAAAGTTGACCCTAATCAAAATTTGGCAACCAAACACAAAGAAATCAAATACCAGCGAAAACAACAACAAATGATCAACAAAAGAAAGACATGAATGCAATGATCAAGTATAATTCAGGTCAATTCAACCATGTTTGAAATGCTAATGATCTGTATACCTGAGCAGGAAATCTGAGGGCCATGGAGAAGAGACTATCTCCACCAACCCCAGCAGCATAAAAAGAAGCAGTACCAGTTGGATTAAAAGTGGCACCACCTAAGAATTCACCAAGAAAGTTAAACAAGAAAACAAAGGTGAAGATAAGAGAAGTATTAGCAAGCACAGGAGCCCAGACAAGGGTTTGAAGGCCAAGAGCAGTAACTATCAGGTTTGTAAACAAACCAAACATGGAAGACACAAACACCGACATGAAAGTGAACACTGCATCCCCAATAGCTGCCTTCACTGCCCCCATGACTGATCACAACAGCTTTTCGTTTCTGTTCTGATTCTTTGGATGATATCTACGAAAAGTACAGTTGCTGTCAGGTTCTGGTGGGGGTTGTCTTTTCTGTCTGGTCTGTGTCTACAACGATAGGAAAATTCAACAAATTTGGAAGTGGTGATTTACCTACCTAAGGAGAGGTGGTAGAGTGTTTTGTCGATAAATATAGCTGGGATTCCAAGTGTCTTACTGTTCATCAATCTCTCACCCAGATCTGTGGTGGGTGTATATATGGCGCCTCTTGTGTGGGTGGCATATCAGGACTTTATTTGATTGCTTCCATCTAATTTCTTCTTTTTCTTTGGAATGGATTTTTTTTAATTCTATCTAAATTAGAGTAATGCTTCCTATAGTTTACGAAATTGTAGATCATATCCCAAGAGAGGATTTATCTATCAATTTTTAATTTTAACCTGCTGTGGTAATATTGTTGTTCAAAAGAGAATTTTAATACGAAAAAAAGAGGGGAATGCTTTTAACGATGGTATGGGAATGAATGGAAGCTGGGCCTGCATATATGGTTATTTTTCATCAATTTTTGAAATTTTCAAATGGAAAAAACCAAAATATTAACAAAAACTATTTTATGCATTTTATAAAATAACTCAAAAATCCAATTTTCGAGTTGTTTTCTTTTAATTAGGAATAATTTTTTTATAAATAAAAACTCTACATTCAACATAAGAAAAATAAATAAAAATAAAACAGCATGCATATTTGTTTCATATATGCTATACATACGCTTTCTGCGAGCATATTGCTTGGAAACATGTAATAATAAGAACCCATTTGCCTATGTGTTGTGGACTGTCTGTGTGGTTCAAACTAAAAGGCAATATTGTGGATGTGGACCGCAGTTTAAAATTCAAACAAACACATAGTTAAACAGGTCATAAGACCAATTATATAAAGGAAATTTGAAGCATGCTTATGTGACATAATAATAATAATAATAATAATAATCCCAATCCATCACATTTAAAATAATAATAATAATAATAATATAGGAGCAATCATAATTTTTCCCCTAGTCTTTTAGGTAATGAACCAACAACTGTTTCCTTATTTCATTTGAATATAATAATATAGGAGCAATCATAATTTTTTCCCTAGTCTTTTAGGTAATGAATCAACAACTGTTTCCATTTGCTTTAAGAGAGAATTAATAAGATGTGTATTGTTAAGTGTGGTTGTTATATTTTTTAAATAATTTTTATATTAAAATATATGTTAATAATATTTTTTTATTTTTTAAAAATTATTTTTGACATCAGCATAATAAAATAATTTAAAAACACTAAAAACATATTAATTTAAAGTAAATAAAAAAATATTTTTTTTAAAACATAAAAATAATAAATAACAATAATTAAGGGTTAAGGGAGTGAATAAAAGATTGTTGCTAATACTCTCCAATTTTTTTTTTAAGTCTCCATTACGCGGAGTCCTTCTTAATCAACACAAAACACAAATTATACATTATGCATGCGTGTCTAATATTCAAGAAATTTTCCATTTTAAAACAAAGTATTTATTTGATTCAATAAAATTTTGGCCAAAATTTTCTTTTGCTTAGAGTCGTACCCAAAATTTAGTCTTGTTTTAAGATATACAAACTCAGCAACAACACAAATCACAATCGACTAATTGCGGGCAGGCCACTCAAACAAATGACAATTTATACTTAGTGTTATATATATATATATATATATATATATATCGAGTCAAAAAACAAGACACTCAATGAACCGGACAATAAATGTTTTGTTTTGTGTTCAACTATTATTAAACAGCACAAAACAATATGGTTCAAGGATAATAATAGTGTATGGTCTCATGTATTGTGTGTGTGTATATAATCTATTTTTAAAAAAACTTATTTTTAAAAATAATTAATTATTATATATTTATATAAATAAGATATATGAAATAAGTATATAGAGAGCTTTGGAAATGTGAATCAACCCGCATTTTCAAAAAACTCAATTTCTTTTTCTTTGTTAAAAATTAAAAATAAATTATGTTTTAGATTATTTTAATAAATTTTAAAAATATTTTTTAAAAAATAAAACAATATTGTTTTAATATATATTAAAATAAAAAATATTTTTAAAAACAATCACAACTCCACCTATAATCCAAAACAGTTTCTTATAGAAGATGGCTGGAGTGAGGGACAAAGTGATTAAAAATTCAGTAATTAATTTTAACTTACCCTTATTAGATTTGAGTGAATCTAGTTTGTCTTTCTGAGATTTCGATTGTTTCAATCTCTCCTTGAAGTTTCAATCAGGTATCCATATCCTCTTAATGTTAACCAGAGGAAGAAAAAATACTTTTTTTCTTTTCAGTTCCTAAACTTTTAAAATTAGATCAAATAGAACCCTTTTTTTTTACGAGATCAGATTTTCTATTTCAATTTAAAGGTCTAAATGATATTAAATATATATTTTTTATTAAAAAAATGTCAGATACAAAATTAAAATTTTTCTTTTTTCAATTGGTGTTTACATTAAGAACAGGAAAATTATAAAATAATTAGAAAATTAGAAAAAATAAATAAATTATAAAAACCACAGAAGATTAAAACCTTAAAACTAAAAAACCTAATATCTAAAAGAAAAAAACTGCAAAACTCTCATAGTATAATGAAAGAATAATCATCAACTAACAAATCAATAATATATTTAACACAATCAATTAATGTAGGCAGATAATATATTTAACACAATCAATTAATGTACAATCAATTAATGTAGGCACACAAACCTGATGAGTTCTTGACTCATCAAAGAAAAAAAACTTAATTTTGTTTTCTACCAAGCTGTCTAATTTATACTTAATCTTGGAATATAATTTTAGTTTGATGTGTATTCTAATATTTTTTATTATTTATATTTTGAACGATAAATAAAGTATACGAAATTATTTACAAACTTTTAATTAAAATTAGAAGATTTTATCTCATATATCAAATTATCCATAAAAAAATCTATTTGAGATCATACATGATCCGTTAATGAAAATCTAAAATATATCACACCAAGTTTTATAATAAAATGATAAATTTAAGGGGAAAAAATCAAATCACAAGAACCATATATATTTTTTTACTAAAAATACTATTTTTTTATATATTTTTATCCAGATATTCTCATACCTTTTTAAAAAATACAACTAGTTTAGTTCAGATTCCATGATTCCTCCTCTCCATAAATAAATATATTTTCTAACTCCAAAAACACCATCTTTGTGAGGTTTAATGCTCGCACCAAAAAGCTCTAAAAATCACTTTGTAATGTCTTATTGTATGTTATTTCATGTACAATATAACTTTAATGAATTAATATTCAATAAATTAATAATCTAAATTAAATAATAATTTTATTGGATCCCTTCCGCCCTGAAGTCAAGCTCAAACAGATGCATTCAGATCTAATATACTGTTTTCATTGTCTTTTTTTCACTTCATGAAGGATCTTATCTATATACGGACAGAACGGCGTTTTCACAGCCGGCCATTTCCTTGTCATATATGGGTTAAGACACTGTTTTTCATTGCTGTATAACTATAGTTAAAAAAAAAATAACATTTTTAACTTTAAATTAATTATTTTTAATATTGTTTAATTAAATACATTTAAAAAAATAAAAAATATTATTTAAATATATTTATAACCTAAAAACACTTTGAAAACCACGAGAAATGGAGATGGTAAAACAATAACCGACATCAAATGAATTAGACCAGATAGTACTGTTGAATGTTATGGAGAGTCTCCCACGAGAAATTGCTGGCGATATACTGTCAAGACTGCCTGTGACATCTTTAGTTAACGTAAAGTTTGTTTGCCGATCATGGCGCAAATTATTACAAGACAGTCTTCTTGTCTTTATGCTTTTTCTTCGCACCACAAAAAAGGATCCATGTCTAATCTTACACAGCGTCCATCCTATCAAACACTATGTTGCAGATTTTCCCTCGGATGATTCTAATCCTAACCAACTCTATGTTGCGGATTTCTCATCTGATGGAGACAGAATTGTGGTTGTCAAGAAAATCCGCGTACCGACCTTGCCTGAGTTCTATGTGACAGCTTCATGTAATGGTCTGCTATGCTTATGTGATTCATTACACAGCAGCAAACTCTTTATATACAATCCTTTCACAATGGATGTTTTGGCGCTCCCAGATTCTGCACAGTATCCGAATCAGCAGGTGGTTGTTGGATTTGGTTTTTCCTCCATGGAGAATTATTACAAAGTTGTTAAGATTGTATATTACAGCCATAGAGGAAGTATCCGTCCCTATGGAGGTAATCTCCCACAATCAAGCGTTGAAATTTTGAGCCTTCGCAGCCTCACCTGGAGAAGTTTAGGGGAGATTCCTTACCAAATCTTTGGCAAGCGGCCATCACAGGTTTTGGTCAATGGGAGACTAAATTGGGCAACTTGGCCCATATACCGGTGTAGTTCAGCTCGTTTGATTGTCTCGTTTGACCCATCAGAAGAGAAGTTTTACGAAGTTCCAAGGCCTGACTGTGGCAGCTTGGACAAATTTAATCATAATCTGGTGGTTCTAGGAGGTTGTCTTTCTGCATCTGTCTATAGAAAAGAAGGATATTTTGAGATCTGGGTTATGAAGGAATATAACGTGAAGGAATCTTGGATCAATCTATACAACATAGACATAATGGATCAATCCTTCGAGAACTCAGGGCTACACTTAAAACGTTCACATGCTCGAGTTATATGCCTTTTGAAGAACGGAGAGATCTTATTGGAGATGACAGTCACAAAAGCGCTGCTCAGTTTTGATCCAAAATCTAAAACCTTTAAGCATCTTGCATTTCATGGATTACCAAGATGGTATGAAACCCTTGTCCACTTGGGGAGTCTCCACTGGATCGACACACATGTGGTTGCTACTTGATGCAGGTGGAGCAATAAACAGACGTGTATGTCCATCTGCGGTCTGCCCCCTCCCTGCTTTTTTATCAGCTTGAAACCTTCTGGGTTCTGGCTCTGTTCAAGAATTGCTTTTTCTTTTTTTCAGTAAAATTGCCTAATTTTGAATTCCACTTTTCACAACACTACTTATCATGTTTGGCATATAATAGTGAAACCTTTGACTTCCAGCAAAATAAAGCAGAATTTTCATGATTCCTAAGTATAAGTGTAATCATCATCTTTCCAAAGAGCTAGCAAGATGAGATTGTATTGATTATTGAGAGCGGTTTCCTGCATGAATCGTGAGAAATAAAACTGGTTTCTACGGAATTGAGATGAGAACACAAGAGATGATCATGTTTGTAAATCTTAATTGATAATTTCAAATCAATGATTAGATTTTATCTTGAATTCAAATAAGTTCCTCATTGTACAATATTGTGATGAATCCAAATCTTAATTATGTTAGATTTAATATATCTAAACATGCTTCTAAGATAAATAATATTTAGATTTGATGTGGAAAAATAAATAAATTGAAAATATATCTCCTTATATTAATGATAACACTTACATAATGAATTATTTTTTTTAATCTAAAATCTAACGCATTTAAATTTTAATGGTGTATTTCTATAGATAAAAATTTATACAAAGTGTATATGAACTTAGGGATCAAAACTCTGTATTTATATAATAAGAGTGTTATTAAACTTCTAATTCTAATTGATATATAACTATGTTGCCATAAAATTAGAAAATATTAATATGAGAGTTGATTTATTTGATCAAATATTAAAGTTCTTAAAAAACTGAATCCCAAATGCAAACTCTAACAGCACTCTTCCACTTGGTTTATAAGTTTAACCTAATGTTTTAACTTAATCCCATTATTTATTTTTATTATGAAACAAATACATTAACTAGTGTTTAATGAATACTTTTTTTTCCATAACATGTTTTTTTGAGCTAAATATTTAATGTTGATATGTTTACTTTAACCACCATATTTATTGTTCTTAGCTATAAAAACAATAACTGAATTGTTGCAATATATTCTTAATAGCATAGAAATAAAATTCATGGTGATTCTAAGACTAAATATAAAACTCTTTAACTATACACCATCTGCACTAGTCTCAAAATATGAAACAAACTCAGATTTTATAATGATAGTAATAATTAAAGTCTATTTAGCACTTCTCTAAGATACAACTCCACTAGCCATTATAAAAATATACATTGATGTTAATTTGAATGAATCACACAACCAACAAAACTTGAATTTGAGTATTGGATTGCTTCTGGATTGTTTATTCATCTATGGTTTTTGGTTCCTTAAATGTACTTCATTAATTTATTTGCAGCTCTCTAATAATCTATACTTAGATTATTCTAATATCATCTCAACATTCAAATAACAAATATAATGTCAGGATTAATACAAACATGAGCATTCATCAAGCTTTCTATAACAAAAACATATAGAATATTATTTATTTATTTTTTTAAGACTATTTTCTGAGCATCGGTTCAAATTGAGCCTACCACCCTTTAGAAGAATAAGAAATGATTCAAATGTTTACATTTATCATGGTAAAATAAGAATTTTCTCCGGTTCAAAGAGAGGGGAAGTTCCTCCTACCTAATACCAATATGTTACGAAATACCAATTGTCAAGTAAATATTTTTTTGGTTAAATAATTAATGAGTGCATGACAACATAACTATCTACATCTATTATGTACTCTTGTTGTCTTCGAGCAGCAAAGTTTTTTTTCCCCCATCATGATAACGGGTTGAGAAGATTGATTATTAGTGACAATTGTTTTAGATTGCGATATTATTTTTGAAAAAAAGGAAAAGCCCTATCAAGTCCATATTTTACAATAAAACTGGTAAACTTAATTATTATAAATTCTATAAAACATACATAATTATCCAACACTTAATTTTTAATTGGATTTTGTTTATAAATAACAACCTTTTTAAAAAAAATAAATTATATAATAGATATTTTATTCAATAATAAGGAGGTTAACTTCCTCTATTAATTTTTTAAGTTTTCATAGTGGAGTTTTGTTTTCTTGATTTGATGTGAATAATATACAATTAAGATTATTAAAAAAATCTTGAGTTTTGATCACATTTTTTTATTTATTTACGTGGGGTGTCCGGGCCAGCTTACGCGCACTACGACTAATCCCCACTGCCCACTGAACATCCTGCAAGCCTAGTGAACAGGTAGGGCACCGCGGGGGTGACAGGCGTGCACGGTAAGGCTCGAATCCAGGTGCGAAGGAAAGGGACAAGCCCCTCCCACCGCTGGGTTAGAACCTTACTTGCTTTAATTTTAATTGATATATAACTTGATTTAAAAATATTTTTTTTATATGATGAAAACTGCAACTTCATTAACTATGGAGTCCAAATACACGCATCAATTTATATTGCAAATTACAATTATAATTAAAAAGGAACTAGAAAAATGAGGTGTTATTGTACATTTCCTCATAAAATACTATTTATAAGATTTTTTTTTTGGCTAAAAATGAGGTGTTATTGTACATTTCCTCGTAAAATACTATTTATAAGATTTTTTTTTGGCTTTTTTTTTTTTATAATTTATGTTTTTTTTCTAATTCAATTGTATCATTTTACATTAGGTTTATTGAGAATTAGATTTTATAATTTTTATAATTTGATTTTTATGATATTATTTCAGTCTCGTGACTTAGACCGCAAGTTTAATGAGTTAACTAGATTGACTCAAGTTTTTTGTTCCTTTACCTGATTATTTTTTTTTTAATTTTATTCTTCAATGTTTGATTGATTAAGAATTAGACTTCATGATTTATTTTAGTTTAATTTTTATGAGATTATTTCTATCTCATAACTCAAGTTACAGGTTTAATGGGTTAATTCAAGTTGACCCGATTTATTTTTTTGTATCCGTTTTTAATTAGTTTTTTTAATTTCAATTTTATTATTGAACATTAGTTTTATTAGGGATTGAGTTTCATAAGTATTTTCAATTTAACTTTTACGTGGTTAGAACAGTCTCATAACATGAACCATGAATTTAATGAATGAAATCAGTTATCTTAACTTTTTTTTCTCTTTCTCTAATTTTTTTTTTCAATTTCATCCTTAAACATTGGGTTGATTGGGGATTAAGTTTATGATTTGTTTAGGCTTGCATTCTATTACCTTATCGTTCTTAATTTTATCTTTTAACATTGAGTTAATTGAATTTACTTTCTGTAAGGTTATCATAGTCTCATAACTCGACATGCAGATTAATAAGTTAACTCGGGTTGATTCAAATTGATATAATATGTTGTTGTCTCAATATATATATATATATATATATATATATATATATATATATCATATTGAATATTTATTTTGAGTCAAACTATGATTTTATTGATTGTTCGGGTTGTTTTTGGATTTATCAAGTTAATCGGGTCATATCGGAACAATTCTCACATGATTGAAAATATTTTTTTCAGCTAGAAAAAACATTAGCAACATCTAGATATTTTTTTTATGTAATTTTTTTAATTCAACCAATAACATACCACGAACTAATAATCTAGTATATACTAAAAAGACTAGTTAAATCATTATAGCAATTAATAGTATCCTTTTTGTTTTTTCATTTTTGTCCTTTTTTTTTTTGCAATCTCCTATGCTAAAATTCAAGACTAGCTAGTCAAAATGTTAAGAAAACAAGAAAATTCATCAATAGAGAATAAAAGTGCAAAATAAGGAGAAATTGATCTCAAATTCACTAGAAAAGGTTCTCTTTGATTTCTTTTTTATTTTGCATTTCTTTTAGTTTAAAAAGTTGATAAATGACCATTTTTAAATGTCAAAACTCATATTTTTTTTGGTTTCAATAAATTTTTATGTGACAAGAAAAGATCAATAATGAGATTTTTTTTAAATCCGAGCATGCTTGAAAAAGCAAATCAAATTCAGGTTAGATATCATTTATCTTATTGATATTTTTTGGATGATTTTAGAATGTTTAATGGTTTTAAAGATTTTTATAGTGTTTTTAAATGTTTTTAAATAAAAATAGCTTGAAAAATGAATTTTGAGTCAAGATCCCACCTATTTTTTTAACAACAATAGTGGCTTGATTTTGGGAAGTAACAGAAGATGCATCATCTGCTATATATATATATATATATTATAGAAAAGCAAGGGCGGATGACATGTAATCACCCATTTAAAAAAAGAAAAATAGTAAAGATGTCTTAAATGCATGGCCTGTTACCTAGGCTCATGAGCACAAGTTTTTTCAAGATACTCAGGCATGTTGTGCCACCCAAATTTACGTGCTTGTCTATTTTTTTTTTCAAGATCATTCTTTAATATTTTTAAATTGAAATTTATATTTTATTTTATTTTTTATTAGTTTATTAACTTTCTAAAATTTGATTGATGTTAAATTTTATGAACATTTATTTTTTAATGTATAATTAAATAAAAATTAGTTTTATAAAACAATTATTAAATTAAGTTGAGTCTATAACCTAAATTGCAAGTTTGTTTGGTAGATTTATTAAAGGTGATTGGGGATTAGACTTAGAACCTGTTCCGACCTTTAATGCGGACCAGTTACTTAGAACCTGTTTAATACTTAGAATCTGTTTACCAACAAGGAAGAAAGGGATTAATTATATAATATTTTCAAATCCCTCCCCACCATCTCTTTCAAATTTTAATATCCGGTATATGGTCTCACCTGGTGGAAGAGTTGACCCTACATATTTAAATGTCCAGTACACAACGAGAGAGTATATAGCCGTTGGGGAGAGGCCAGTTCAACGGCTAGTTTATTTTGATCTCCTATTGGGGGATTTCTGCTTCCTTTTAAGCACCCTCTTTTGACTCAAATCCACAACAAAGCTGAGCTTGTGTTTCCATATCAAAATCCTAAGATCCAACAATAATCCAACAATAACCCTCCTTCCATTTTGAATCTCTCGTTTCCTCTTCTAATCCAACAATAACCCTCCTTCCATTTTGAAT